TATATATAATCAAGACAATGAATCAGGAGTTAATCAGCGTTTGATTAGGTGGTTTCTTGCTCGCATGAATTCGGCTCCGAGTAAAACCTCAAAGCCCTGGATAATTCTGTTACCACTCATATAAAAGGCAAAATGTATCCCGGATCTAAAAAGAGACAGTTTCGAATGCATCACAGAACACCTAATGCATCAAAACCAACTCCGTTTTCTTCCAGGATGGAATGAATGAATGAGTATCTGAGCCTGGAATTTAACCAGCTTGACCAGATCTGGTTGGTCTTGATTTTCAGCTTGAAAAACTGCTTGGGAGTTAATAAACTGTCCAGCACCGATTCTAGTTGAATTCAAATAAAATTGTCCTAAAATAGCTGATCGATAGGAAAACGCATGTTAGAACTACGTGATAGGATGTACTGGAACGTTTCTAAATCGAAAGGGACAAACAGGGCATGAAAAATTCGACTACTTGGAATTTTAACGTTGCAACTCTACTTCAAAATCTATTAAGAAGGACCAATATTACATCAGAGAAAAGGATGCACACTTTGATAGAAACACGAGAAGTTGCTGAAGAAGGTGGATACAAATCAATTTAAAAATGAATAGAGCAATAATGTAAGAGAGAGAGAGAGGGAAATCCACCAACATTATTGTTCCACTGAGTGAACACGTGTAGTTGACCATATATAATGGTATATGTGGCGAGACTATCGCCATATATGATGGTTCTGGCGAGGCCTTTAATGTTGGGTCATCGATATATTCCGGACTCGAATTCAGCCTCTGTCACCCAATTGTGATCGTGGGGAGCATCGCTGTTGCCCTTAAGTTGTTTATTGCTAGACTATATTGAAATGGAAGCGGACTCTGCTGCACCCAGTGAAGTATGTGAAAATCCGATTGAAACATCATTCATCTTTATTCATTGATGTTGGACCGTGGACACAAATAAAATGAGTTTTCAAGATACAAAATTAATATACAGGACAGTTATACAAACTGAGCTGTGTATCAATATACAGTTCAATATACAGCTCAGTTTGTACAACTGTCCACGTTTTTTTCTATTTTGAAAACTGAACTATAGTAGTATTGGAAATCGAATATATACATCCCAACTGTTGTTAGGTAACGTGGAAGAGTTCAATATCATACACTTTTATTTGATGGAAAGACTGACAAGCTGAGTCCTGAAGCAAATTAAATTTTGAGAGAAATAAAAATGCGTTATTCTTTAGCACTTTGCAGCAACTAGAACTGCACACCGTTCAGTTAGTTGTCCACATAAGCTAAGCGATGATCAACTTAATTCAATTTGTCCTTCGCGTCCCTTTCTCAAGGTCATTGCGAACATGCCTAGTAGTACATTTCTAAATTCCGCCCGCGAATTAACACCCTGAATCGATCGATGAACCCGGAAAATCTCTATTTGATCATACTACCATACATACCTGATTCTTACTCTCTCGGAAGAGGCTTTCTTTTTCAATTCCCTTTTGGTTCTACAACTAACTGTTCGACAACTTGTCCTTTGATGCTGTTATGCTGTCTGTGGATACACTGAAAACTGAAGGAACCCATGAGAAGTGTTTTCTGTTCAAGCATGTCTTCCTTGAAAACGTTACCACTGAATATCAGTCCGGTATCCGAAACACATTTTGATGAGAGAGAGAGAGTTGTGTACGGTCCCCGCGTTCTTACCCAACCACCACTCTAGCTCCATACGGTTCCTACAGAAACTCATGCTTATTTGAAATAGGATAGAAAAAAAATCTACATTCCGGGAGAATTCTTTTCGTCAAGCGATCTCACGATTCATTGGGGCTGGCTGAACGAGACACCTGCAGGACCATTTAGTCATTCCGACAATTCATTCGGTTAAGTAGCACGAGCACGTGACTGTCACGGGACCTTTCCCTCAACTACCTCAACCTAGGTTGTACCTGGTATACATTCAGCCGTGTTAGTGAATGTAGGAAGACGGACTACGTGAAAATGGTCATCACGGGTGGAGTAAATTGACGGGCTTAGCCCCGTAAATTCTGGTTCGGCAAAACAAACTTTTCTACGGTTGGCTAATTGAAAAGGGTGAAATTATTAGAAAGATGGGTTAAGTCCGCAAACTAAGCAATCGTTTTATCGGATGAGAGCGCGTATGAATCATAGCATGTGACGGCGGTGGTCAATTGGTGTGTTGGCCACATTACATCGCTTTGGAGGTCGTGCTTAAGCACCATCAGAGTCACCGGACGTTTCTCTTTTCTTTTCATAATACGGTAATTGTTTCTTGGATCAATTCCTTTTTCCCCCAAAAATACCTATACAACGACGGACTCAATAAATGGACATGAAAAAAAGAGGTGAACACCACTCGTTGAAAGCGAGC